TTCCCAAGGGAAAAGAATCACCTTGCTCCTCCCCTTCAGGAGGGTCTGTATGAATTGTGAATTCTTTGGGTTCCACATGCATATTCATTCTTCTTGTAATAAACCTAGTTTTCACATAAGTTTCATGATGTTGTGATTGCCTGTGGATATACCCACGCCAATTTATGTGTAAAAGGTGCCACAAAAGTAAGAACAAGGTGTTAACCTTCTATGGAAGATTTGTGAAAAGACATGTACAAAAACAGCACAGGATTAGGAGGAGTAAATGCACCACCATGGAGAGTCACCATGCCAGAAAGAACAGAGAGCCATTAAAATAGAGTGTCTTCCACATTTCATGAGCATACATATTGTCTGCTAAAAGTCGAAGGCAGTTACACCGGGTTTTGTGTTTCTCAGGATGTCCAGCAGGTGGGGAGCACTCTGCACTCAGCACCTTGGAGTTGGACCCCTAGAAAATGAACCCTCACTCAGATCTATTAAAAGAGTTGTCTCACTCAGGGGCTCATAGAAAACAATTTTAATTCACCAGTTCCTGGGCATGTTATCAAGGGGACTAGCCAGGATCTCTAGGCCTCAATAAATCTTTACAGATGATAAACTGGAGCCTACTGAACTGTTGGAAGCCTCTGGAGTTCAAATGAGACTTTTCTCATTAAAACAAATGTGAAAAGCCAGCAATAAGCCAAGGCCCCAAGGGTGTTTACCTAAAGTCTTCCTCTACCCACCCATCCTAGTCCCCAATTAAGTGAAATGTGATTGCAAATGCATTACACTACAATATTTTACAAATCACGTCTATGGGCTTCATTAAGTGTATAAAATGGCTTTCTAATTAATTGTAAGTGAATTTCTATACTCAGTGGAGGTCTCTGGAGCTTTGTCTTCAATTTTTCCACTAATACATTTTTGCCCAAACACAAAGTCAATGAAACTGAATGACTCACATTCCTACTGTTTCCTGAAGTACATGGAAACTCTTCCTTCAACAAACCCCTTGAATGTTAATTGTTCCATTTTAGCAAAAGGTTGATGGGCCACTGTGTTTAGATCATCTAACTTTTCCATTTAAACTCAAATTGCAAAACATTCATTGGTTGCTAATATGCAAATGTCTGGAGGGCAGGGACCATTACACTTTAGTCTCTGGGGGTCCCTTTAGCACCTAGCACAGAACCTCAAATATGGCAGGTGCTTAATAAAGGATTTATTGGCTAATTAGTGGCAGCTGGGTAGCCCAGTGGATAGAGGACTAGGCCTAGGCCTAGCGTCAGGAAGACCCAAGTTCAAATCCAGCCTCAGACATTTTCTTGCTGTGTGATCTTGGACAAGTCACTTGGTTTTAGTTTTCTTAACTGTAAAATGAGGATGACAATAGCACCTAACTCCCAGAGTTGTTTATGAGGACCAAATGAGATAATATTTCTAAAACATTTAGCCCAGTGCCTGTCACATAGTAATCATCATGAAATCACAGTGAAATGGAAAGACTACTATACATGTAATCAGACCACCTAACTGCTGGACAAAGTCATTTTATCTCTCTGAGACTCAACTTCCCGAACTATAAAATTGGAACAATAATATACTATTTACCTCATGAGGCTCTCGTAAGGAAAATAGTTTAGAAATATAAAGTCAGTATGATGCCTCTTATTGGAATCCAGACCAAAAGCCAAATCATCAATGAGTTCCTTCGGTATTTCTAGTAATTAAACATATAGGGTTCAAGTTGGTCCCACTTTTAGCAGAATGCTTGCAATGAAAGTCTAGTATATAATTCTCCTTCTGGCATTTACTACTTGTGTGACTTTGGACTAGTTCATTTAACTTCCTCAGGTTTGGGCTCTCTATAAAATGAGGAGGCTGGATGAAATGGCTTCTGAAATCACTTAGATCTATGATCCTTTGGTTAAGAGTCATTAAATTCTGCTTACAATATGAAGGGACAGTCAGGGAAGACAATGGCAGCGGATTAGGTCTGCTGGGCCCTTGGGTAGATCTGGAAACTTCACTGGTACCTTGCAAGGAATGGTATACTTTCACCCCAACCAGTAAAGTCTGCTGAGTTTTTAAAGAATTTTTGTCTGGGTTTAGCAGGACCAGGCATTTTGAAAAATATGCAGGGAGTCTAAACCTAGGGATCAACCATGCTAGCTGGGGAGGGAAGACACCTGAGAAACTGGCAGATAGTTGATATACAATCCCCACCAGTGGGGAAAGGGACTCTGGGCAATAACTGCTACTCTTAGGCTGACAGGGTGATTTAGCTTTCCTGTCAGGGTTTTTGGGCTTCCCCATAGGGCATCAAGGTGGTGTAGTGAATAGAGTATTAGGTCTAGACTCAGGAAGACCCCTCTTCTCAAATTCAAAAATTACCTTGGTCACTAGCTGGGTGACCCTAGGTAAGTCACTTAACCCTGTTTGCCTCAGTTTCCTCATTTGTAAAATGAACTGGAGAAGGAAATGGCAAACTATTCCAGAGAAAACCCCAAAGGAGGACATAAAGAGTCAAATACAACTGAAAAATGACTGAGCAACAAAATGGAAACTGACTGGGAAGCCTACTTGTATTCCATATACTTTCTCTCCTGGTTCTGCTGGCTTCCTTCAAGACTCAGCTCAAATCCCAACTTCTACAGCAGTTCTTTTCTGGTCTGCTTATGCCTTCCCTCAGGGATTACCTTCCATTTATACTACATATATAGCATGTGCATAATTATTTGCACGTTATTCAATGTCTTCTTGAGGACAAAGACTATATATTTGCTGTTCATTGTATTCCCAGCCTTTAGCAGTGTGTTTGAAATAGTAAATGCTTTTAAAATGGGGGGGGAGGGGAAGAGTCATTAAATTCCTTTTAACATTAAAATCAAGCACATAGATTCATACTCCATCCATGCATCTTAGTGCAGTGTCTGGCACATAGTAGGCACTTTATAAATGTTTATTCCCTTCCCTTCCCCACCCCAACCCAGAGTATTCCTCCACCCTAGTCCGAACAGCTTGCAACAAGCTTACATTCCCATCCAAAGCCTCCAGGAGAGTCCCTGTCCCCCTAGAAATGTGGGTCCATCCACAGAAATGAGCTTCCCCTTTAAACTCTCAGATGAAGTTGTAAGTCTACATTCTAAAGGAGCATTCAGGTGTTGCTCTTAGATCATCACGAAGAGATACATTCTGTAAGTGCTCACCTGTCACTATCACTGAGGAATGCATTGGGAGTAAGGGTAAGGAAATGAATTGTTGTGTCAGATTCATAGAATCACAGAATATCACAAGTACGAAGGACATCAGATATCAACTAGTTCAACTTCGACCTCATTGGGAATCCCCTCTATGACATCCCTGACAACTGAATATCCAGACTCCGGCTTCTAAGGTCTCTTCCAGTTCTGACAGTCAATGTTCTAAGGTCTTTCCAATTCTAACACTCTATATCATGTTCTTTCATCCCTAATATCCCTTTCAAATGGACAAGTTCCAATACATGTATGTGTTAAGCAAACAGGGAGTGACTTTGAAAAATGCTGTGTCGCAGGAATTGAATTAAAGCATAGCCCATGGAGCATCCATGGAGCTGATCTGAGCCCACCCTAGAAGCCATTTTCAGGGACACATGTGCTTAGTGCTGAGGATTTCATGCTTTGGAATGATGCAGCAATCCCTTGGTCCCCGTGACCTCTGCAGAGGAAAGGGAATATGTTAAAAAAAAAAAAGCGTTGGCCGTTGAGTCCAAAAGAGTCAGCCATCTATCAAAAGCCTTTAATAAATAACTTCCTCGCTTGCTATATATTCTTCCTTTCCCCAGACCTTGAGGAATGAAACTCCAACTCCTATTCCTATTCCTACTTCTCTCTGTCTCTCTGTGTCTTTGTGTCTCTCTGTCTCTCTCTGTCTCTGTCTCTCTCTCTCTCTCTCTCTCTCTCTCTCTCTCTCTCTCTCTCTCTCTCTCCCTCCCTCCCTCCCTCCCTCTTTTTCTGCTATATACTAAGTCCGAGTCAGTATCTCAAGGTCCTGGCTGACTCTTCTGCTCTCTGTTTCTTTCTCTGAACATACGTGACACAATAGCAATTCTGAGAAAGGCATTTCCAGACTAGGAGGTAACAAGTTTGAAAGGTGGGAAGCTCCTGGCTCTCTGTCAGCATCAGCTACATTGCAGGAAGTGCTCTCCGTAACTACCAGGACACCTCTCAGAGGAAAAGGTGACTGCTGATGGGAAGATAAGCCCAAGGCCTGGCACACCAAATGGGATGAACTTTGAGGAAGGGGTTTGTTTGAATGCTGCAGAGCTAAGGTAAAGGTAAAAGTTCTTTGAATAGTCCCTGCTAAATGTTCCATGTTTTAAGTGTCAGCCCTTCAGAGTTATGAGCTACTGTAGTATATTCTAAGTCTTTGTCAATGTGGGCTTATAAGTCTTTTGGTGTTTTAAACATTTCTTTTGTATTGAGGAAATAAATAACTAATCTTCATCATATATTGAACAATATATCATATATTGGGAAGAACTTAATTTAACCATGATCCAAAGTTCAGCTTTAAGTGATTTTTCCCTGGAGGTGACCTCGGGCAAGTTTCCCCTATAAAAAGGATTAGATCACCTCTAGGATCCCTTTAGATCTAAATCTTATGTTACTATGATTCAGAATTAGTCACCTTAATTCACCCAGTCTAACATACCTTTTCCTGACATCCATCCTTCTGTATCCTGAACATCAAATTTTAAAAATTAAGTTTTTATAAATACTGGTGTACAGGGCCTACCAGAAAAAGTTTTAGTAATCATGATAAAGGCAGGAGTTTTTATTAATTCCAATCATCACAGTTACTTTGAAAAGTATGACAAGATTTCAAAGCTAATTCTGATCTTGAACTTCAAACTTCTGCAAACATTTCCTATGAAACACTGTCAGTACTTCTAAAATATCAAGGCATTTGATGCTGATGAAACTTCTATGATAGTCTAATTCCATACTTACTAGTTAGCAGTATACACTTACTTCTTTGACTTTTTTCATCCTTGTAGCCTTTTGAGGAGCTATGTGGAAATAACTGCAAATAGAAATAAATATAATTAGGAAATAATGTTTCAGCAGATGGACAAAAATATGAAGTATAGACTAAACACCCTTCCTAACATGAAAACAATCAGATTTCTGTTTGTTTGGGTTGGGGGTGGGGTGGGGTTGAAACTGAATCTTCTTATCTTGACTGAGTAGGGAATGCAACAGTCACTCATAGGCCCAATCCCAATGGGTACAGAAACTTTAATCTGTGTTCCCAGAGAACTCACCATATTGGTGCTGGCTTTAGTGCTGACATCTCACCAGCTTTACCCCACTGAAGTTTAGAATTCCCCAGCCCAAACAATCCACCAGTCTCAGCTTGCCCCAGCTGTAGGGATTACAGATGACTGTCACCACTCCTGGCTTGGTATGATAGTTTTAATAGTGAAACAAGCAGCATTTTAAGTACCAATAACTCATGTCTCTAAGGTTTAGGCATTGTTTAGACTATAATTGCAAGTTTTACATAATGTTTTTCTATGAACAACCCTGTGAAGTAAACAGCACAAGCATTCCAATTTTGTAGATGAGGAAAGTGGAATTCTGAAAATCTAAGTGATTTTCCCCAAGCTAAATAGCAAATTAAGGACAGAACTGAAACACAAACCCAAGTCTCCCGATTTTTAGCTCACTGTACCAGGTCATTCCACATCTCGATCATTTTCAAAACATGCCACCTACTCTGGGTCTCCTCCTTCCAGGTCGCCTCCTTCTCCCCTCTCCCAACAAAACCTTGGACCCTGCCCCTGGGATGCTGGACACTGAGAGCTGAGTTTTCACCATATCATGTCCAGAAGTAGGTCCCCAAGACATTTCCCAGACATATCCAAACCAACCTACCTGGTTCTTTCTAGTTCCCCTTTATATATTGTCTTCCCTTACTTGACTGTAAGCTCCTTAAGGGCAGGGACTGCCTAAATTCCCTAAATATCCCCATCACTTAGCATAGTACCTGACACGAAGGAAGTGCTAAATAAAAACTTTATCACCATGCATTCATATATTCAATTGTCTGGAGCTTTTTTAAGTGTTTAGATCACTTCAAACTTTGATCTAGGTTTTAAGGGTATAGCCTCTTTGCTTAAAGAAAAAAGTCTAGGATTCTTGGGATATGAAACTGCTACCAAAAACAGTAATAATTATGAGCTTACAAGTTTTTTGGAGGAATGAAAAAGTTTTTTCCCCATTATTTATCAATGATTTTCAAAGAAGTCCTTTATAATTAATTTAATTTAGAGGATTTGGACAATGATTGGGTATTGGATAGAAAAACTATTTAGTCTTCTCAAACAACTATTATGAGATGTAGCCCTGGGGTGGCTAATATTATTACAGAGCTTCACTTCTAAGTCCATTTGCTGGTCTTGTCATTATGATGAAATTTTCTGAGAAGTGAGAAGTTATTTAAACTGCTCAGTGGCTCAGTAATTACAAAATATACATTTCCAACCAATTATGCCCTACTGATATAAATGAAAATTAAGCCAAAAGTATATAACAAGGCCTTCTTCACAAAAATAGAATTTCGAATACTATTTACATAAGAAAAAATCACTATAAATGCTGGAGTTCCTCTTCAAGGTCAGTATTGCTTGCTCATGAAGAATGGAAGCAATCTATGGTATAAAGAGCTCTGGACCAGGAATTAAGAGACCTGGGTTCAAATCCCAGTTCTGCCAAGCATGCAAATATTATAAAGCTATGAATCTATGAAGAGGACTCCAAGGTCATACACATCTCATCCATAGACAAGATTCTGTTTCCTTTTCCATGGAATCACAGAATGTCAGACCTAGAAAACACTTTTGAAATCACTTGTCCAACAAGTTTACAGATGAGGAAAACTGAGGCACAGAGAGGTCAATTTGACTTGTCTGCTATACTCAGTCCTCTTAGTTTTCCATTGCAACATATACCTCCACTCACACCTCACATTGCCACTGTTTTAAGTTTATGGCATCCATCTTGTTGCACTACTGATAGCATCTTTGTTTCTGCTCACAGCTTCTCTTGGCTGAATTTTGCATTCCATCACCACTTCTGAGAAGATCATTCCCTGTGCCTGGAATGCACTCCTCATCACTGCCTCTTCAAATCTAGTTTCCCTCAAGGCTCAATAAGGAGCTTTTCCCCATTTCCCTAATGGTTTGTGCCCTCTCCCACCTTCTCAGATTATTAGGTATATATTTATTAAATTATATTTTGTATTATCCCAGTATAATGTAAGCTCCTTGAGGGCAGAAACCATTTTCCATTTTGTCTTTTTTTACTCCCAGCACCTAGCACATAGTCGGCACTTGGGATCCTAGATTTAAAGCTGGAAGAGTTCTTAGAGGTCACCTAAATCCAACCCCTCTCCTTTTACAGATAAGTAAACTGAGGCCTAGACAACTTAAGTAATTTGTCTAGATAAAAAGTGGTAGAACCAGGTTTTAAATCCAGGTCCTCTGACTTCAAATCCATCACTCTTTTTCCCATGTCATGTTGCATCTCACAATAAATACATATTGAATTGGGTTGGATTAAATGGGACAGAGGGATGTTAATATTCCACTTACAACTCAATAAATGACTGGGATGGGGGAGAAGGTTTCAGCTTGAAACGCTGCCATTAGATCCCATTTTCTCCTTATCTGGAAAACATTTTTGGAAGGATGAGAAAATAAATTCCTTACAGTCTTTTCTTTGAAAGCATATTGGACCCCAAAAAAAGTGAGCTATTAAAAAAAACCACCAGAAAGTAGGGCAGAAACAAAATCAAATGAAACAACATGTCATAAAGTGGGAAGTACTGTATTAATAGAGTAAAAGATAATTTATTAAGTGCCTACTTAATAAATTCTTGCTGATAGATAACTTATGTTCTACACTTTACGTTGAACTGCTTTGTAGTTTTCTAAGCATCACACACACACACGTGCGCACACACACACACACACACACCCCTTAACCCTGTGAATTTGACAGCAGCAAGAATTACATTCAATTTGTAGATGAGGAAAGGGAGGCTCAGAATGGAAAAGTAACTTGCCCAAGATAACCTGAATTATAAACAGCAGAACCAAGATTCCAACTCAGGTCTGATATAAGTCCAATACACTTTCCTTAGGCTATGCTACTCACTGGTTAGAGTCATAAAATGTTGAAAGTAAATGGGATATACAATACTCAATGTCAAAGGTGTAGGAGAAAATAGGATGTAAAAGGGACCCTAGGGATCATCTAGTCCAACCTCATATTTTATAGATTGTGGAAATTGAGGATTCTTGATGATGATAAGAAGTCAGAACCTGTGGAACACTGTAGAAGCAAGTGAAATGATTCCCAGCTTTATCCAATTGAAGTTCAATTGAAGAGACAATATTTGGCAACATTACACTGCAGTCTATTTGTCAACGTGTGCTAAGCAATCATTAGAGAGGAGTCAGGATAATCAGGGAAGGTTATGGGTGAGTTTTGAGTGGTATTTTAAAGGACTGTGGTGAGGAAAGCACTTTGTGAAGCACTGTATAAATGAGAACTATTATTATTATGAGAAAGGAGACATAAAGAAAATAGAGAGGAAAAGATTTGGGGCAGCCTGGAGTCAGGAAGACTCATCTTCATGAGTTCAAATCTGGCCTCAGACACTTACTAGTTGTGTGACCCTAGTCAAGTCACTTAATCCCGTTTGCCTCAGTTTCCTCATCTGTAAAATGAGCTGGAGAAGAAAATGGTAAAACACTCCAGTAGCTTTGCCAAGAAAATCCCAAATGGAGTCAATATTGAACAACAACAACAAAATAAACTGACAGTGAGACTTAACAATCCTCACTATTAGAGAGTTGAATATGTGTTATCATAGAATATTAAGAGAAAGATCATCAGATGGAAAGACATGGGCTCAAATCCCAGTCTGACTTCCTAGTTACATGTCACTTCTTTCCCCCCTCATTTTTCTTATCTGTTAAATGGGCTCAAATCCCAGTCCACCTTCTTTACTCTCATATTGTCACTTTCCCTCTCCCCAGCCTCATTTTTCTGATGAGTTCAATGAGAGGATTGGACTAGATGACCTCTAAAGTCTCTTCCAGCTCTTAATCCTAGCTCAGTAGTGTATATTTGACACAATCCAGGTGGTTAAATATTTTCCCTAAGCAGTTCCCTTACTGAGGAACAAAGCTGAAGCCAGCAATGTCTAGACTCTCCTTCAATCCCCAGGACACTGCTGATCTATTTGATCCAGTCACTCTCTTCTGTCTACTTACTCCCTCCTCCCCCCCCACCACACACACACACACACACACACACACACACACACACACACACACACACACACACACACACACACACACACACGCCGACTTACTCCAGTTTCCTGAACCTTTCTCTCCCAGCTGCTACATATCTGCCCCCTTGCTGTAGCTCCTCCAGGTCCTGGACCAGATGTCCGTGACAAGGCGTGTAGAGCCGCCTCACTCCGAAGGGTACTGCCACCTTCTCATTCAACTGAGTCATCAAGGCTTCAAAGCTGGGGACCCGCTTGCGATTGATCACAAACTTCTTGCCCACGTAGAACTTGTCTCCGTTACAGTACACCAGGATGGTCTTGGCTGGAGTGGTGTCCAACAGGTTGTAAGAGCAGCAGGGTCCCCGGGTGCCCATGGTGGGTGGGGAAGGGGAGGCCAACTATCCAATCAACTAAGAGACATGTACCTCGGGAAGGGACCTTTCCCCTGCCCTGCAGCCCCCAGCCCTTCGTGGGGGCGGAGGTCCAGGGGATAGTAAGGTTCTGAGTGAGGTGCACCAGTGAAGGCAGCTCTCTCCAAGAAGCGGTTTGGAGAGGTTGGTCTGGGCTTCGACTTTTCCTTGGCTTTTCTTGCCTTCTCTCTCTAGGTGGACTGGGGGTCAGAGAGCAGGAGACTCAAGTTATCTAGCAGTAGGAGCAGAGCAGCGCCTGAGACTCTGGTCCCTGGAGCATCACTTCATGCCTGCGGCCGTGGGGTGAGCCCCCAGGGCTGGGGAGGACTTTCTCTTGCCTGCAAATCCGCTCCCCGGCCGCAGCAGCTGCGCAGGATGCCGCGGCCAGGTGGGATCTCGGGTGGTAACAGGTCTGGCGGTCAGGCTAGGGTAGTGACCGCTGTACCTAGACTCCCACCTGTCCCCGCCCCTGTGGGCCGGGCATTGACGCGGGCTAGGAGCGATTGTGACCGCTTGCTCGGGTGGGACAGCCTAGGTAGAGAAAGAGAAAGAAGAGGAACCCTTGAGAGGGGGTGGAGAGAGGTGGAAAAGGATGGGGATGGGGGGAGGAGAGGGATGGAAGGCGCAGGTGGTAGGATTTAGCACAAGAAAGGAGTTCTCATAGGTCGTCTGGTCCAATTCCCTACCGTCCCACTAGGTGGGGACACGGAGGCCTGAAATGGAGATGTGGCTTGCTCCTGGTCACACTGCCAGATGGTAATGGAGCCGATTCGAACTGGAGGAAGAGACAGGGAGGTGCCCTGCAAAGAGCGTTGAACTTGGAAACTTTGGACCTTGGTCCACATCTTGACTGCCTAATACCAGCGTGACCCTGGGCAAATCATTCTCCTCTCTAGGCCTCAGTTTCCTCATATGTAAAAAGAGAGGCAGCTAATTAATGTCAGTGGATAGAGTGCCTGGCCTGGAGTCAGGAAGACCCTAGTTCAAATTTTACTTCAGACACTTACTAGTACTAGCTGTGTGACTCTGGGCAAGTCACTTACCCGTTTGCCTCAGTTTCTTCATCTGTAAAATGAGCTGGAGAAGGAAAAGACAAACCACTCCAGTATCTTTACCAAGAAAACCTCAATGGGGTCAGGAAGAGTCAGACACAACTAAAACAACCAAACAACAACAACAACAAAAAGGAGAAGGTTGACTTCTAATGCCCCTTCCAGTTCTACATCAGTGATTCTCTGAGCCCGACAGTGTTGGTGCACAGGGAAGTGAGCTCAGTTTGGAACTAAACCTAATTTGGCAATCTTAGGTACTCTCAGCCTTTGGGCTAGTCTATCCTCCCTCTGGAAGAAATTTTAAAAATCAGATATTTAATCCAATTTCTCTATCCCTCATTTTTTAAAAGAGGGAAGTGAAGCACAGAGAAATTAAATGACTTTCCAAGGTCACATCAGTATTAAGTGCCCAGATTTTCTGTCCCCCAAGATTAGTGCTCCTTTCCTTGTACTGTCTGGGGAAGAACAAAGCTGCAAAACAGAGGAAATCTGGGGCTATTGGGAAATCAATAGAATGACTGTCAAGAACTAGGATGAGTCCAGATTGAGAGAGAAGAGGTCCTGAGCTGTGTTCACAATGATGACCAAAGACAGTGAACTTCATCTGTTTGAAACTTCCCTTTTGTTCAGACTTGAGCCAAGATCACCTGTCTCAGCAAACCAGGGCAGTGACTTTCCTGAGACAGAAAAATGGTCTGATGCTTCCAAACTGACTTCTTGAAGTCTGTTTCTGGTTCTGCCTCTCATGTGCTTCAGTGACTTTGAATAAGTCATTTGCCCTTTTAGGGCCTCAATTTCCTCTTCTGTAGAATGGAGGGTCCAGAATAGATAACATCTAAGGTTCCTTAGAGTTCTAAAATCCTGTGATTCAGAGAGGATCATAGATTGACTTGGAAGAGGCCTAAAAGTTCATCTAGTCCTACCCCTCATCTGAAGCCCAGAAAGAAAAAATCACTTTCCCAAGACCTTTCACATTTTTAAGGGGTCCCCTGAACTTGTTGACTTAGGTGGCATATTTTCCAGAAACACTGGATCCAGAGTGTGCAGGAGACCCTGAATGTGTCAAAGTCCCTGAGCTTTGTCATAATGTGCTGTTTGCACCCAAAGCCGGATTCCTCGTGTGTCCTTGGAAGTCAAGATAGGTACCAGTCAGTCTGCACTAGGCTGAGAAACTGCTTGTGTAGCTGGGACCCTGGTAGATAAGCAGACCATGCTATCTTCATGGCCTAGCAGTTCCCAAGAGAAAAGAATCTGGCTTTTGCCATGTCTTTGCTCCTTCCCTTGAGGAGAGGTTTTGTTCTTTTCCCACCTTTACTACTGCACACTTTCCTCCTCCTAAGCCATGCCCCTTTAGGTGGAGATCTGTGTTTCGCCTCCTCCTGTTGTCCTACTCTCATAAATATACAAACTTCTGTATGGATTGTGAACTCTTGGGGTTCCACATGCATGCTTATTTCTCTTGTAATAAACCTAATTTTCAAGTTAAGTTTCATGTTATAATTGCCTGTTGACACATAGTACCAAAACTAGAATTCAAATCCTTTTTGCCTCTGCCCAGAGATAACCTACCTTTAGGAATAAGTGGACAAGTCATTCTAATTTTTCTTTTTAAAGTAGAATGCAAACATCTTGTGGCAGGGAATGTTTGGATGTGTTTGTTGTCTTTGTATCTCTCTAGCACCTAGCATAATGACTTGTATGTAGGTGGATAATGCATGATGTTTGTTGTATTAAACAAATATATCATTTTCCATAGGCTAAAATGAATTCAAAGAACAGATTCTTCAGAACTGAGTTCTAAAGAAACAGAAATTATGCATGAAGCAGAGGGCAATGGAGAGGGTATGTGGGATTGAGTAAATTTCAGGATGTTGTCAATTATGACCTACCCACAATGAATAGCATGAGGAATAGTATCTTGGAAATGGGTTGTCAGATCAGGCAGTAGCCTGATCATATATTGAGAGATAGGGGTGCCAGATAAATAGCTCAAGTATGGCACTGGAAGGTCAACACAATGCAGAAAGACCTCGATGGTTAGGGATGTTATCGGAGCTAAATCCATCCAGCTCATGGGTGCCAATTGTTAAATTCTCCCTGTAAGCATTTATACCAGCACACCCCTGCTTCCAGCACATTGGGCAAATGCTTTGTGAAGGCTCCATGGGAAAATTGTGCAAGAAATCACCCAGATTAAAAGGAGTGGGTTATGTTCTGTTCCAAGGGAGGAAATAAATACCGACATCAATGACATCCTGTCCACTGAAGTAGTTCATAGCTTATAAGCAGTAGTTGTTCAGTACTCACTCGTGTAGTTCTCAGTCATCTGAGATGTCACACAACTTAACAGATACCTTACTCAAATTTTATAGCACATTAGAGTTTTAGAAACACTTTCTTCATCAGTTGAATGGAAGCTCCCCCAATAAAATGTAAGTATCTCCATGCAGAGATTGTGTAATTTCTTTGTCTTTGTACCATAGTGCCTAGAATAGTGCCAGACACATAGTGTAGGCTCTTAATAAGTAGTGAGTGAAGGAGTGAATGAATGACAACCCTATGAGGCACAAAGAATAAGAATTACTGCCCCCATTCTACAGATTAATAAATTGAGGCTCAAAAAGTACCTTGCCGAGGGTTACACAGATACTACATATCAAGGCTGGGATTTTTGTCTTCTGCTGCCAAGGTATAGAGTTGTCACTGGTTTCGTTGCCTCAAAAATAACCTCCAGATAACTATTTTCCTCACCAAGCTGCTTTGAAGGAAAAGGCCTATCTAGCCTTCTAGGCAACTAGGTGGATCAGTGGATAGAGTACAGTATGTAGTGTGGAAGACCTGAGTTTGAATCCTGTCCAGACATCTTACTAGCTGAATTATCCTGGGCAAGTCATTTAAGCCCTCTGTGCCTTTGTTAATTGATCTGCAAAATGGATATAATAAACACCTAACTCATGGGGTTTTTGTAACAAACAAATGAGTTAACACATGTAAAGCGCTTTGCAAACCTTAAAGCACTCTATAAATACTAGTTATTGTTATCATCATCATCATCATCACCACCACCATTTTCTTCTCTAAACAGAAGTGCCAGTGTTATACAGACAATTGGTTCCATAGGCATAGATTTGGAAGGGACCTGAGAATCCATCTATTCCAACTCCCTCATTTTAAAGATGAGGAAACTGAGACCCATAGATGTTAAATGACTTATCCATATGTCATACAGGTAAGCAAGTGACAAGTCCAGGATTTGAACCCAGGCCTTCTGGTTCCAAAACCATTACTTTCTCACTGACTTTGTTGAATCAAACATAAACTCCACTCAAATACTTTTGACCATAAGCTCCATGAAGATAAGTGCCAGCAAAATGTCAGAAATGGAACTTGAAACCCAGGCTCCTGTCTCCAGACCATATTTAATGTTTGTTGAATGAATGAATTATGTACATACAAATACATACACATATGTGTATAAATTATGAAATGAAAGTATTCCATAATTATATATTTTCTATAAGTGAAAAAGAGGCAAATAGGTGGCCTACAGTCAGGAAGACCTGAGTTCAAATCTGGCCTCAGACACTAGCTGTGTAACCCTGAGCAAGTCGCTTAACTTCTTTTTGCCTCAATCCACTGGAGAAGGAAATAACCACTCCAGCATCACGGCCAAGAAAACCCCATGGACAATATCTCCATGCTATTGTCTATGGGGTCACGAAGAGTCGAATACAACTAAAAAACAACTGTACAACTACAATAAATGAAAAAGAAAACTCCCTTACAGAGCCTCATATTACATTCCCACTTACATGAAAACAGCTTCCTTCTAAGATAGCCAAAGTTTACACATTCATCCAGAGTACATGAATCTTTTGGGGGGGGGGGAATGTTTTATTATGTCACCAGGAATCATCTCAATCTGAAAGCACAAACGTTTCTAAAGGTCCAGGTGTTCAAAATGTTGCAAGAAAGCATGTTACCGCAGCGCTTAACATTTAACTACTATTCCAATTTCATGTGATTTTGAAGGTAGAACTCATTGCCATCAAAGGCACAATCACAGGGAATCATCTGGAGGACAACACTCCTTCACTGGGCCGTAGAAGGCAAATGGAGCTGGGGAAGCCCCGCAAACAAAGCCGGCTCAGTCCCCCATCTGGAGCAATGGTAATTTTTACATGGGTGATGACATTCTGCAGCTGGAGAGCAACACTATCAAAGAGATGCCTCTTGTTGGACGACAGCTGAGGAAGAGAACCGAGGACAACAGAAACCCTGGTGAGAACATGGCTGATAGTTTTGAGAGAAATGATTATTTTTTTTATATTAATATCAGGGAGGGGGCGGCATAGAGGGGTTTTTTCCCTTTCTGTCTCCT